TGACAGTACAATTTATCATGCTTGTTTCTATTAGTATCACACATTGCTAACTATATAGCTTTGTTTACTCTTTGGGCTTCATATGCAAGTTAATTATTTATTCTTTTATGTATTTATTTACTACTAGTTCTTTCATCTTGCAGACTGCATTTACTGCGCTCGTTTACCCTTGTTTAGTTCTTGCATACATGGGAGAAGCTGCTTATCTCTCCAAGAACAAAAAGGATCTGCGTTGGAGTTTTTACATGGCCATTCCTGGTAAATCTATATTCTTTCTGATGCAACGGTACATCAACTAGTTGTTTCCTGTAACGTCATTCTTCTTATTAGGAATTCAAATGATTTAGAGAAAGTTTACTTGCACCTAAGGCATGCCATTATTCTTCATTATTACAGTTTTCAAAGTATACGGCCGTTATTTTTATGTTCATTATATTATTAGCTTTTATCTGCTACACGTTTGTCTGCATTTTTTTTTAACCTGCAAACCTTCTGGTGTAGCTTCTGCATCTTTAGAAGCTTCAATCTGTGTGAACGCCTTTACCAGTTTTGGGCTTTATATTTAATCTTATTTAATCAGAAGCTGCCGGTGTTGAATTTGAACTGATAATTTTTTGTAAAATATTTTCTTTCCTTTCAGAGGTTATGTTTTGGCCAGTCGTTATTATTGCAACTCTTGCTTCTGCGGTGGGAAGTCAAGCAATAATTTCAGCTACCTTCTCAATAGTCAGTCAGTGCAGGGCCCTTCGGTGCTTCCCTCGTGTGAAGATCAAACATACATCAAATCAGATACATGGGCGGATATACATACCTGAGGTGAACTGGATGTTGATGGTATTATGTCTTGCTGTTGTTATAGGTTTCAGAGACACTCATATGATAGGCGATGCATATGGTCTGTGCTCTCTCTCTCTCTCTCTCTCTCTCTCTCTCTCTCTGCATTTTTGCTATTTTGAAATAAGCGGTTTTACACCATGTTGCATTTACAGGGCTTGCTGGAGTGACAGTGATGTTCATCACGACCTGCTTGATGTTTCTAATTATTAGTACGGTTTGGAAGCAGAAGGTTATCGTGGCATTCTTGTTTTTTGTAATCTTTGGATCCCTTGAACTACTCTATATTTCTGCCTGCCTTGGAAAAGTACATCACGGAGGCTGGCTTCCCCTTGTATTCGCTCTTGTCATCGTGTCTTTGATGTCTATCTGGAATTACGGGACTGTAAAGAAGGATGCATTTGAGCTAGATAACAAGGTATCGTTGGATAGACTTCTAAGCTTTGGGCCAAGCCTAGGTATTACAAGGGTCCCTGGAATCTGCCTAGTTTACTCTAAAGTTGCGTTTGGTCTCCCTCCAATGTTTGCACATTTTGTCACGAACTTCCCTACATTTCATCATACTCTCATCTTTGTGACCCTTAAATATCTGATGATTCCAAAAGTTCCACTTGGTGAGCGTTTTCTTGTTAAGCGGATTGGCCCACCAGAGTTGTCCATTTTCCGGTGTATTGTAAGGTACTTTCCACAAAGTTTCTCAAGCCAAACCTCATTGAATTTTTGCATGAATAGCTCTCGGAACTTCTCTAATACTATAATTGGTCAGGTATGGATACAAGGATGTGAAAGATTGCTACAACTTTGAAACCCAACTGATTGAAAAGGTGGCGGAGTTCTTGAAACAGGAGAGGAATAGTGAAGAATTGGCAGTTAGAGGGCAGTCACCAAACCTAATATCTGCAGCAACACGAAATGAGGTTTATGGCTGCAGAGCTGTGCATTGGAGTGATGATGTTAGTGGCGGCAGTAGTGAGCAGTGGAGAGATGGAGTTGGCAGTGCTGAGCAGTGGATGAAAAAACTCATGGAGGCACGGGAAGCTGGTGGCATGGCCTACATGGTGGGCAATCCTTATGTTGAGGCAAGTGAGGTATCACCGTTCCTGAAGAAGTTTGCGATTGACATTGTCTATAATTTTCTGAGGCGGAATTGCAGGCGTCCAGCAGTCACACTAGGAATTCCGCATACCTCGCTGATTGAAGTGGGAATGCTTTATCAGGTGTAAATATAGTGTGGATGGAGACGGAGTAAATAAACTCAAAGGTAAGACAGGATGCTTATGGATACCAATTACATGGAAATTGCTTAGATGTGTATATGGTGCAGGTTGTAATATGATCATAAATAAGCAAGAAAGTTTTGGCGAAGAACTCACGTACGTTCATAGTATATTTCTTTTGTGAAGCATGTTTACACTAATGTTCTCCCACGTTAGAAGACCTAGACAGAAATTCTAAACTAGCTTACTAGAGAGGAGTGCATGATGACTATTTTTTTAACGTCAAATTCATTAGCAACTCCTTGAACCTTTCATGCAGAAAGGATTGGAAACCCGGTAACTCTGTCATTTCTTTATTTGTTTTCTGAATTTTAATTTGTATGAAAGTAACTGTTGTTGTGCCTTGGCTGATTATCTCACCAACATACAAACCCACAGTTGAATAGTTTAAAATACAAGAAATAAAGACACCGAGAAATTTACGAGGTTCGGCAAAAACCTGCCTACGTCCTCGGAGAGATATTGCTCTTCACTATGAGAAAAACAGTACAAGTTACACATGAGTTAAATCGACATAACCCAATCCCATATCCCTTGTACACCCACCCACAGAAATTTCCCAAGAGCCTCACTCTACCCCAAGAGTTCCTTACTCTGACTCTCTAATTTTTTTCTTTTGTTCTCCTCCTCATCTTCCACCCGAAAGCCAAATATTTATGGCTTTGAAAAAGCCACAAAACAAGGAACAAGACAAGCCACAAAACAAGGAACAAAACAAGCCATAAAACAAGGAAACATAATCCTCATCATGATGTTCCCTCATCAATTTTGTTTTGTTTCCTAGCCTAATTTGGCCACTATCCAACAACTGTATGATGGGTTACTTTCACAGAAATTGACAAACAACCAAATGAAGGCCATGAATTAATGAGTGGCCTCAGAGCTGCGACATGGACATTATAAACTTAAATTTGATAGCTTAAGCCACTAACTTCCTGTGATCAATTAATTGTGTGACCGCAAATCACTCCCTTAAATCAATGCCTAACACTAACTAACTGTCCAACCTCACACTTTTGTTGCCTTCAAAGTTTTTGGGGTTACTTTTCCATTATATAGCTTCTCTCATTCATCTCTCACTCTCTCTCTCTCTCTCTCTCTCTAAGTTCCGATGGTCGGTTGACGTCGGACCAACATATTCCACCGACCTAGACACAAAAAACCCTCCTCCACACCCCCTGCAAGTAGGGCTCACCCATCTGAAAACTTTTGTCTTGGCATACGACCGGTCGGACACAAGAATCTCTCTCTCCAAACAAAAGGGCTTAAGGGTTACAAAATGTATTATCTGTGTTTGGCTGCCTATAGCATCTTCTTCAATGCATCTAGGGTTATGTTTACTCTTGCTCTACTTCTCTTGGTTTCACTTTATGTCTTTTTACTCTTTGAGAGAGTGAAGAGCTTTCATGCATTATCTGCCTTTGGTTGCAAGCAAGAGGTCAGGAACTTGGTTTATCTCCGGTTTCAAGAGACCACTGCATATAACGGGTCAAGGTGAGATGATCGCCACCGCTGGTTTGGGAGATCGAAGGCATGGACGGTTGTGATCGTCAGTCGTCAGGCATGGAGTTTGATATAAAAATCATAATAATTTGCTTTCATATTTGTAACAAGGTATTATTTTTTGGGTTTTTTTTTTTTTTAACTTTAATCCTTGAAACAGATTGAAATTTAATAAAACTATGGTGTTAGATTATATATTGATTATAATCCTTTAATGTGTTCTTAATTCAAATTAATTAATGTATATTTTATTTAATATCTCCTATTAAATATTTGAATTTATTAATATACACATTTGAATTTATTTTTTGACAGAAAAAGAAAAGGATTTTTAATATTTTAATCTCATTTAACATTCTTCAAGCTTGAAAGACTCAATTAATGTACCTAAATTTTAGTACCGAAATGTATGTACTGAAATGTATTAATTAATTTTCATCTTACTCATGGTTTTAGTAAAGTTGCTAAGAGTCTTTTTTGCCAAGGATTGAAATGAAGTTTCCTTTTTTTTTTTTTTTTTTTTTTTTTTAACTTTTTGTAGCAAGTATGGTGCAAGCAATACGAGTGACGGAGTGAGGAAATTAAACACACAACTTCGTGCCAAAACGAATGATATATAATATAAAAATTTCAGAAGATGTGTACATTGATTTATATATCATAAAATTCCGATGCCAAAAAATCCCTAAGAAATTTGTTTGAGTAGAATAATATATAAAATCGGGCAATTATTATAAACCTCTCTTGTGTGAACATTTTTCTTTATTTACCTCTAAAAGTTTACCACCTGCTTCCGTCCTTGAGGTTTTGACGCTCAATCGTTTATGAATGTCAAATTTAACACAATTACGCGAAGAAGGTTGTGAAGAGCAACTTTTGTATATGCGCCGACCAAAAATTTTAACGCCGAAATACTAATAGTCGTTGATGACGGTTTGAGCGTAAATATAGAAAACATGATAATAGTATAAACTATAGGAAAAGAAATAAAGTAAAAAGTTTATGAAAATAGAGGTAACTTTTTTTTTTTTTTTTTTGGGGTAAAGAAAATAGAGGTACCTTACTCCTAAAATCAACATGCAAATATTTTACCGTTTCTATTGGCAATGAAATTGTATGATTAGAAGACTCTTCTGATTTTATTTAGAAAGAAAAACACTTACTTCTAAATCAACTTGCAAATATTTTGGCACTAATTTAAATCGTCATGACCGTTGGAGCGTGCCACTTCAGGGGACAAACATGAAATTTCACTATCACGGATCTGATGATCTGGAATAATCCTAGCCGTTAAAAAAGCTCGCGATCTCGTGAATACCCGCATACGGTAGGGGTACTTCCGGAAATTACTTTAAAATTATTCCAAATTTGACCGTTATAACACTCGAAACCCTCGCGACCGTTTCAAAGTCCCACTCACCACTTACCCCAGAAACTCCCACTCCCCTTCTCTGACACAAAAATCCATGGCCGACGAGAGCACAAACAAATCGATCATGGAGCCGAAGTTCTCGCACCCACTTCACCAAATAGCTCAGTCTCCGAGCCACAAGCTTCTCCTGAAGCAATGGCTGAAAGAAGAAGAGCTAATCCTCAACAGGGTCTCTCTCAAGGAGTCCCAAATCGACTCAGTTCGAAAGGAGATCACGATGCTCTTCATCTTCTTCTTCCTCTTCCACTCCACGGCTCTCACCCTTCTCTTCAGTTCCTCGTCGCGGGATCCGCACGGGTTCGCGTGCCGCAGGTCCTGGATCCCGTCGCTCTGCTCTCTCTGCTTCTCGCTGGGGATCATTTGGGCGACAAGGTATAAAAGCGACACGGAGGGGCACCTGGAGAAGTTGTTGGAGAGAGAAAAGGAGGATAAGAACCTGCTGGGAAAGTGCATTGAGGAGCTGAAGAAGAAGGGGTTGGAGTTCGATTTGTTGAAGGAGGTCGACGCGCTGAGGAGGGCCAAGAGTTTGATAGTCGAAGCGAAGGCGGTGAGGAAGTGGAATGCGAGGGATTTTGTGACTCTGTTTTTCTTCACTGTGTCTTGCTTTGTGATCATTGTCACCAGATTTATTTTGTGTAACTAGGAAGGTCGAAATCGGGGATTAGATTGGTTAATTATTGGGTTTTGGATAAGTGGTGGGGGAAGAAATTGGTTGCAGAATGTTTTGTTCTGCTATTTGTAATTCCGGGAATTTACATTGGCATAGTTATGAAACAAATCTGGATGACTGCTTATATTAGCCTTAATATGTTTTTTTTTTAATTAATTAATTAATTAATTTTGTAATTTGATAGTTTGTAATTTGATTAGCTGTAATTTGACTGATTAGAATCCCAAATAAAAGTATCTTTTTGGTGTGGAGCAAAGCCATTCTCTGCAATTCTCACCATGAACTAAAAAGAGTAGGTTTTTTTATAGGAAAACTAATGAAAAGAACTTGAAAATTTTGAGTTTTAACGATAAGAACAAAATAAAGGGTAAAATGAATAGTATCATGATTGATTTTTTAATGTAAAAATATAGTTTTTCGTTAAAGTGAACAGTAACTGGAGCTTTTCGTTAAAATTCTTTTTTTTTAACCATTTGATGTTGATGTCATTAGTGAATTTCATAAACTTGCAACTTTGGGAGAAGAACTTTGTGGTGTCGGGTGAAGTGCCGAGTCTTGCTTGTGATGCCGTTCTCTCCAAAACGGCTGTCATGGGCCCAAATCAAATACTAGAGCCCAAATATGCACTGCTAAACTTTGTTGCCAGATCTACACCTTTTAATTTGATTACAGATCTACTTTGCCATTTGATCTACATCAATCTCAAACATTAACTGCTCTAGGCATTAATACAATAGACCCTTAAAACGTTTCAATACTTTTGTACAAGTTCTGCAATGGAAGAGTAAGTCCCCAAGAGACCTGCTAAAGTTCCAAACCAACAATGCCTAAAACCTCGCAATTCCATTTTCCATAAGACCATCTCCAACCCTTGGGGTTAAAGTTTAAAATTTTAAGCCATAAGCCAGAAATGTGGCCTAAAATTTTAGCTTATGATGATTAAATAATGATTTTAGCCTAACTTTTGTTTTTAGTAATTATTTTTAATTGATTTTTATGAACATTTTAATCTAAAAATATTTAAATTCTGATCAATAATTAAAAATCATACAAATACATAGGTATTTATAAATTTTTAAGTTAAATTTGATTTAAATATTTTTCTTAAATTATTTTAAACGTTATATTTAATTTCGGGCCGTCAAATCTTTTTTTTTTTTTTTTTTAAACTATTAGATTTGATCTCGTTTGATTATAACGGTTATATTATAAGTAAAAAACAAAAAAAAAGTTTGAAATATTACTGTTTGGTGGGTCCAGAATAATTTAAGTCAGACTTAAATCCTAGAAGAATCTAGCCCAATGATATATTTTCTTCCCATGACTTATTTTAGCCCATGGTTGGAGATGGTTTGAGGGAGTTTTAAAGCTTATATTTTAAACTTTATCCCATGTGTTGGAGATGGTCTAAGAAGAAAATTTGAGATAGCACATGCATGGGGAGTAAGAAAGAAACTAAAATATTAAACAGTGAGCCAACAATGGCCGCGAGGTTCTCAAGGTAGGGGAAAAAATAGGCCACTGTAATGGAGATGGCTAGTTATTCCACCCTTACAAGCAGTCTACAATGTCTCTATTTCGCCGATTTCTGTAATTTTCTGATGATACTACTCTCTGTTCGATAACTTTAACTACCGGAATAAGAAGGATGGTGGAGATTGCAACTTCTGCACTAACTTGTTTGGTAAGGAGTTAAACAAAGGAATTAAACACTAATGTGTGAGTAATTCATTGATTCCGAAACTGAAATCCTTCCATTTAATATTACAAATTTGAAATTTCATATATAGAAAATCAATTTGTTTTACCAATCTACAAATACGAAAATTACATATGGAAATAAGCTATATATATATATATATTGCGACGTTTAGTCAGGAAACCACCCCTGCGGTTGCATTTCACTCTTTAATTTTCCACGTACGCGTGATCCACTGGTAGTACTTGGGTTCAAGCTTCTGTTCTTTCCAAACTTTGGCAAAGTCTGAAAATTAGTTGACCTGCAGAATCTGAAGAAAGATCGGAGAACAACACGTCTCTCTCTTCTTTCAGCCAAGTAGAGAACTCATTGTTCTTGGCACTCAAGTTTCTGCTAGCAAAAATATGACTTCTCAAGTCCTAACCATCAGAAAAGCCGAGGATCCCTTATGCCAACTGCAAACTTCTACTTTCTAAGCCACAGCTTCTTGACTGAAGCGAAGGTGCAGCCACGTTTTACGAGTTCACACATCAGTTGCTAGATACAAGGAACGGTTAGTAGCCAATGGAGGACTACTATGAGACCTTTAGTCTTGTGGTTAAACCAACCACAGTGAGATTGGTAAAGCATTGGCTGCTCACATAGCTGGAAACTAAGCAATTAGCTGTAAAAACAATGCATTCTTACATGAGTTTCTTGAAGAGAGAGTTTATATGGCTCAGCGCCAAGGGTTCAGTGATAGTACTCACCCAAATTATGTTTGTAAGTTGGAGAGTTCTTTATCTGGTTTAAAAGTTAAAACAGGCTCCTAGAGCCTGAAACGACAAGGTCACCAAGTTTATGCTTCAGTTAGGATTGAAGTCCTCTAATGAAGATCTTTCTTTGTGTCAAGTATGATGGTAAGTCTATTATTGTCTTACTATTATATGTTGATGATATTATCCTCACTGATGATAGTGGTGGTGCAATTCAAGATTTCTCAATCGGCAAGGGAAATTTGATTTGAAGGACTTGGGTATTTTGCAATTTTCCTTGGACTTCAAATTATTATCAGTCACAAGGGCTATTTGTACATCAAATGAAGTATGTGAAGGATTTACTGAACAAAGCCAACATGTTGGATTGTAAACCTTGTCTTACTTCTTATCATCCTAATCAGAAATTGTTGAATCCTGAAGTGCTCTCTTTTCATATATTGCATTTTACAAAAGTATTGTAGGTGCTCTATAATATTTGATATTTACTAGAGATCAGACATTGCTTTCATAGTAAATCAAGTGTGTTAGTTCATGCATTCACCTCTCGAATCTCATTTTGCAGCAGTCAAAACGTTTTTGAGGTATCATAGGGGCAACATACTAATTTTGTAGTATTTATTGGCTCCAATCCTATTTCTTGGAGTTCTAAGAAGCAACACACTGTTAGTAGATCCTCCATAGAAGTAGATCCTCCATCAGCTACTCAAGGACTTACATTTCTGGCATTGGCCACTAATCTTGTATTGCATTCCAAGGCCAAGCATAGAGACTGACTATCATTTTGTGCGTGAAAGAGTTCAATAAGGAACTATTATGTTGCAGCATGTGGCTTTTGCAGATCAGTATGTATAGGTATACTCACAAAAGGATTGTGTTCTCCCTATTTTATTTGTTCAAAGCATGAGCTTGATGAGGATGATAGAGTATTAAATATGCCATGCGTCATTATACCATTGGATTTGTCTTAACTTAGTTAATCTACCGTGTATGTTGTATAAATAATATGAGCTCCGTCATTATTACACAATTATTAACTGAGATTTCAAAATACATTTGTCAGGTTCTCTCTCTTTGATTCTTATCTCTCTCTCTCTCTCTCTCTCTCTAGATTTTCTCTAGATTGTTCGTAATTGTTCTACATCGTTGACAGTAAATAATTAATTATTTTTCAGTATTTGTATGTGTATGTATTTCATTTATACAAATAAAATAACCTTCAATTTTTTTTGAACTTTCTACAAATTTTCTTGGTCAAATCTTGAAATATGTCAAGAAAATCCAAGGTATGTAGGGACTTAGTGTGGCCTATACGTTTTATCATATTGATAAGGGACCCAACACGAAAGCCAGTCAACTTCCAATGTGCTACCATGGATATATAAGCCATGGGGGCCAATCTGATAAGATTATTGCACCCATGTACGGATTGACTTGGAGACTAGACTATTGTTTCGGATCGTTTTCAAATTTCAACTGAACGCAAAGTGCCAACCAATTTTCAAAGTTCAACTCAAACTCTGGTTTTCTAGGAAATAGAATAAAGAAGCAGAACATAATTAGAAAAGGAAACTTACTCCATCGATGGCTTGGATCGAGGCAGTCAATTTTCGACCAGCTATTTTATCTTATTGTAATATCCTATTATTGGTAAATTACATTTTGACCTCTCCCATTTTTGTTCAATTTTAAATTCAAATAAAGGATTTTAAAATTTTTTCAATTCATGCAACGACTCACGATTTAGTATCAGTGTCGTACAACCGTTAGAGATTCTATTAAGTTAACCGTTAAACTATGATGTGACAAATGCCTGACTCATATATTTGCTAACGTGACAATCAATTGTACGACGTTAGTACACTATTTTATTTACAAGAACAATCTTTAGGAATTATGGTGGGTGGAAAAATAGTGTTGTTTAATTTTTAAGTTTTCATGGGGGTGAGATTATAAGGTGGCTGGGGTGATAGGGTTGGTCATTGGGTGGGACTAGAAGCTCCCTTTATTTATTAAAGAACATTAAACAAACAATAAATTAAGGAGCACTAAATTGTGTGTTATCGCATGTTTAGTTCCCCCTTTAACAAAAAATATTTATCTACTATTGAAATTTGTAAAATATCGCAAGTAAATTAAGAAGGTCCGTCAAGGTTTGTAATTGATCATTTTGAGTTTAGGAATGTCATTGGAGGGAGCTTAAAGCTTAGGTGGCCAAAATTTGTAAATTAAACTCGACGCCCTAAGCAATTAACGTAGTGAATTTTTTTTTATAATGAATAAATATTACCTATGCATGCTAGCTCATTGGGAATGTTAATAGACATTGTAATGGATAGGTTGGGGAAAATGAAAATTTTTATTGAGAAAATCAGTACAATGTGATCAAATAGGCAATGTGCGAAAATATAAAAGAGGTTTAAACACTGTCAAAGGCACATTGCAGTAGAAACCGAAGGCCGCAAGTGCGTAGTTAAGGTTATTGGTGATGACATAAATGTCTTCTCTCTGCATTTTGTGTCGTTCGGTGTTGGTCGTTGGGTGAGTTCAATACCGACTGACTGACATGTACGGCACTTTGGCAACAACTTCACTTTATCATTTCATTATATATAGAGACTAGACTGCCAAATTCTGCGCCCCTTTTCACGGGCCGTGTAGGACTCTCTC